TAGCACAGTGATCAAATTCAGTCACAGAAAAAATAGCCTGTTCATTCCCAGCACGCAAGATCAGTTTACCATCATGCACATCAATAAGTGCCTTGGCGGTGGCAAGAAATGGTCTACCCAAAATCAAAGGCACATCCACATCCTCATGTATATCAAGAATAACAAAATCAACAGGATATGTGAATGCACCGACCTTGACAAGCAGATCCTCTATGATTCCCCTAGGATGCACAATGGAACGATCAGCTAGCTGAATGCTCATCCTAGTAGGGCTAAGTTCACCTAGGTCTAGCTTTTTATACAACTTATATGGCATGACATTTATGCTAGTGCCTAGGTCCGCCAAGGACTTGCCTACATGCATGCTGCCAATAGTAAGAGGGGTAATAAAACTCCCTGGATCCTTGCGCTTCTCGGGCAGCTTGTTCTGCAGGATAGCAGAACACTCCTCGCTCAGCAACACTGTCGAGAGATCCCCAAGGTTCTTCTTGTTGGTGCAGAGATCTTTCATGAACTTGGCATACTTGGGCATCTTCGACAGTGCCTCCACGAACGGTATGCTGATGTTGAGCTGCTTCAACATTGCCATGAACTTGGCAAACTCAGTCTCCAGCTTGTCTTTGTGTAGGCGAGTGGGGAAGGGAAGCTGGGGTACATGCTCCTTAACCACTGGTTGTGGCTTGGGCGCAGGGGCTTCCTTCTCCACCCGCACTTCTGCATCGTCGGCTGGAAGTGCTGAAGCAGGTCGTGGTTCCTCCTGTCTGGCCGGGACAGGATCAGCAGATATGGTCTTACCGCTCCTGGTAAAAATGACATCCAGCTGCTAATGCTGGTGAGGATCTCGAGGATTCGGGACAGTGGTGGCAGGCAAAGTCCCCGGTGCCCTGGTGGTGTTCTGGCGGGCCAAGATGCCCACCTGGGTCTACAGATCCTGCAAAATGGCACCCTGGTTCCTCTGACCTGCCTCTAGTGAGGCTACACTCTGGTCCAACCTCGTGATAGTCGGCTGAGTGCTCGTCATGAATGAAGCTAGAATGTTTTCCAGCTTCGTCATCCTGTCATCTGGGGCTGGAGCTGCTGCTGGCTCGGCAAACTGGCGCTGGGGCTGCTGGAATGGCTGCCCCTTCCTAGGCTGGTAGGGCTGCTGCTGTGGGTCTGTCCCCTGGCGAGCCTGGAAGGGCTGCCTCTGCTGAAAACCACCTGCTGGTGCTGGGAAACCGGGTGGTTTAGTGGTGTTGCTGCTCCAGGCGAAATTGGGATGCTGGCGCCACCCCTCATTATATGTGTTACTGGATGGATCGAGGCGCCGCGCATTGGCGATGAAGGCCAACTGCTCCTGGGGTGTGGTAGACTCCCTCATAGCCTGGCAGTCTTCCACTAAGTGATTCGAGCTCTCACACCACTGACATTGAGCAACTGGAGGTGTAGCCAAACCTCTGCCCGGAATAAGACTGTTGGGCTGCTTCAATGTCTGCACTAGCTCAGCTACCTGCTGCTCGAGCCCGGATCTGGTCTCCATGGCGTGCACACCACGGTCCCTGGAATGTCTGCCTCTGCTGCTCTACCCCCAGGAATGATCTCTGGCAGCCAATGTATTAATCATCTGGTTCAGCTCGGGTGGAGTCTTAGTGAGAACATCCCCTCCTGGGCATAGAGACTCAATCACCCTCTGGCTGTCTGGAGAGAGAGCACTGTAGAAATTCCCCACTGTGAATGCATCACTGAAGCCATGATGGGGGCACTGCCAGAAGTAGCCCATGTACCGCTCCCAAGCATCACGAAGTGACTCATCTGGCTCTTGGCGGAAGTGAGTGATCTCCCGCTGAATCTCTGTAGTCTTCGATGCCAGATAGTAGCTGTGCACGAACTTGTCAGCCAGATCGTCCCAAGAGGTGATGGACAATGGGGGCTGGGTCTCCAACCACCTCTTAGCATTCCCCACCAGAGAATGGGGGAAGAGATGAAGGCGGATTGCATCATCCGGGACACCATTCAGCTTGAACCCGTTCGTCAGCTGCAGAAAACAGGAGAGATGTACCCTGGCCTCCTCATCCTTCAAGCCATGGAACTGGATGGAAGATGTAATGAGCTGAATCCAGCATGGCTTGATCTCGAAGTTGTTTGCTGGGATAGGCGGGTAGAGGATGACCGGGCGGATGTCAGCAATCCGCGGAGTGTAGTAGTACTCCAAGGTGGGACCCGGCTGCGGTGGATGATGAACTCCATGATCCTGGGGTATGGGGTTGTTCCCCAGGACCTGATTCACCGGGGGAGCCTGCTGAGGATTCCCCTGGTGTTGATTGTAGTCTTCCATCTCGTACTCCTCCTCAGAATCACTGCTCACGTGGCCGTCTATGCGCTCTTCCGTAGCCAGTCTAGCCCGCTGTTGTCTCCGAAGTTGGCGACAGGTGCGTTCAATCTCTGGATTCAACGGTAGTAAACCTCCCGACTGGCTACGGGTCATGCACTACCTGCACACACTCAAGCAGCAAACCCGTGAAGGCACAAGTGAGACAAAGCAAACAAAGCAAAAAGAAAAGCTAAATTAACAGAAATCACTTTTCTTCAACAACCTAGCCGTCCCCGGCAACGGCGCCAAAAACTTGACTCGACTCTACTGTCACTCCAGGAATTGGCCAAGTGAAACCACTTCCTAAAGCGTAGTATAGCGGGTTTGGGTTTAATTATCAACTCGGGTCCTAGATCTGATGACTACTCAGTGAGATCTTGTTATCTAGCAATGAAACTGGAATGCAAGTCTAAACTACCAAACAAACAAAGCAAGTAAACTGTTGTATTCAGGTTAAAGAGGTCACCCGGATATGGTTCCCCCTAGACTGCAGTTAAGCCGGATTGTAATTACCAAGTTCAGTTTCTATGATAGTTATACTGCGGAAGGTTCTTAAACAGCCTGAAGTCTCGACTAAAGGTCTTCAGACCCTCTCAATCTGAATCTCTAGCGGGCGACTAACCTCCACCGGAGTAGACAGATTGAGGCCCTAAGAACAAAACCTCCACTACCGGAGTAAATCCGGTACAGAATAGTGAGTTGGCTCCTCGACTAAAGTCACCAACTCCCTACCTTCAATCAAGGGTGCTCTATCAACCTAGGCAGATATTCTCATTCTAGGTTAAAGCAGAAACAACAGGAATTTGATCAGGATTCAAGTCATTCAATCATTAAAACCTCAATCGAATATAATCAATCACAGAATCAGTACTTGGGTTCATACAATCAAAGCCTAACATACAAATCTAGGGTTCTCCATACCCAGATGAAAGGGAGAACTACTCCATGGAGAAGAAAGCAAAAGCAGAATCAGACACGGAATTCATACTGCGAAGGATGGATTCCTGCTTCTGGACGTTGATTGGCACTTCTCCAAGCTCAAGCTGGCCTCCAATGGTGTTGAAGATCAATCTAGGGCGCTTGGGAACTCTTGCTCGTCACTTTCTCTCTCTAGAAGTCGTTCTATCTCTCAAAAACTCGAATCCCCTTGACTTGTGGCTGAAAATCTGCTTAAAAGCATCAGTGGCCAAAGCACGGTCGAGGGCACGGCCGTGCTTTGCCTCAGCCCGCCCGTGCTTTGGCTAGGGTTAATTACACGGCCATTGTGTTGGTGCAAACACGGCCGTGCTTTGGGAGAACACGCCCGTGCTTTGGTAGAACACGCCCGTGCTTTGGGAGAACACGCCCGTGCTTTGGTAGAACACGCCCGTGCTTTGGGAGAACACGGCCGTGCTTTGGTGAAGCACGCCCGTGTTCTATCTCAGCCCTGCCCGTATTTTGGCCAATGTGGTCCAAACTCGAATTAGCTCTCGGCCGTAAAAGCACGGTCACAGAACACGGCCGTGTTCTGTTTTAGGTGTGCCCGTGTTTTGGCTCCAACTCACCGAAATGACTTCCGAATGCCCCAAAACTCGTGCTTAGCCTTTCCTTTGACGCCTGGGACCTGAAATATGACAAAATAGCACAACCTGGCATAAAATAGGCCAAAAATACACGACTATGCCCCTCAGACGGATAAGAACTAGGGGTGCAAATATGTGCAATTACATCGTTATCAAGCTTTGAGAGGAATGGTGAGGCGACCTGGGTTGATAATCCCATACCTAAAATGCAGGAAATGCCCAACATTCAACCCCTAGAAGACAACTCCTTCGTTTTTTACTTCAAGAAGAAGGTCGAGATGAAGGAAATCTAGAGCGATCGACCTTGCGCAATCTCAAGGACAATGATGCAGCTGAAGAAACCTTCTGCTTTTGAAGAAGCGAAGGAGGTAAAGTTCCAGACCATTGAATTCTGGGTTCAAGTTCAAAATCTGCCAAAAGCCTACCGCAATGCAGTCAAAAGCGCGATTCTATCTAGAAGCGGAAAAGGGATAAAATCGTAATGCGTAGAATCAAAGCGTAAAAGCGTAAGTTTTTTACGCTTACTAAAAAATAACTAAAAATCTATTAATTAGGACATATGCTATGCAAAATATGAATGCACAGATAAGTTAATAAATACATGCGATTCATGCCTAAAGTAGAACAACTTATAGCATCTTAATAATAAGTTCGTAAACATAAATTTTAACAATAAGCCACTTTTCCCTATATGCTAATGAATTTGGGAAAAGCCTAGCTGGTGAATTATATTGCTATATTGAAGTTGAGAATGCATCCAAGTACCCGATATGTATCTTCTAATCTCAAATGTATCATATTGTTGGTGATTTACTTTTAAAATATACTTTTTATAATTAATTTCATGAAAAGAATACTCATTTAGTGGACTAAAAGCGTAAAAACGTAAAGCGTTTTGGTGAACTAGAAGCGTAAAACCGTTAGCTTTAAAGCTTTAAAGCGTAATTTAGTCCGATTTTATACACTTAAGTTTTTATAAGGAAACGAAAGCGTTTTGGTGACCTAAAAGCGTAAAATCGTAAATTTTTAAGTTTTAAAGTGCGATTTTGACTGCATTGGCCTACCGTTCCGAAGGAAACATCTCGATGATGGACATAATGTTCCATAGAGTCATTGATATTGACCGTGCTACCATACAAGCCCAGGCATACCGGAAGTTCATTAGGATCTTCGTCGAGGTGGATGTCTCGAAATCCCTCCCTGATGGGTTCTACATAAGACATCAGCAGAAGAGGATCCGAGTTGAGTACAAGTATGAGAGGCTATACTCCCTCTGCTACTTCTGTAGAAAGGTTGACCATACTAAACTTGATTACAAGCCGAAGAAGAATTGTGACATGAATGGTCTTCCCTACCCAGCGATGGAGAAATGGGGCCATGGACAAGAGCGAGTTCTCCAATCTTCTCCCCCAGAACAAATCAATAGATGGATGCGGAGAACACCCAGAATCGGGTCACTACCTCTGCTAACAACTCCCCAATTGGGTTGCTCAACCATTCGCCGACCACGACGGCCCGTAGTTGGACACAAAACACCAACCAGATGGGCCCACACGTCTTGAGCTTCTCGCCAAGGCCAAATCAATCCCCCTTTTTCGAGTAATGGTCAGAACTTCACTCTCTCAACGGATCTATTCTACTCCCCTAACTTTTTCTCACCTACTCCCCAAAATCATCCCACTTTTTTCTTAAAACCAAGATATGTTTTTCTCTCCTCCCCAAAGTGAAAATATAGCCAAAAACCTTTTCGGTGACTTCCCTTTCCAACAGACAAACCAAATGACTACCCCTTTCAATAATTTTCAACTTGTTGCCTTTGCTATCCTAACCTAATCCCATTCACTTATCCAACCCAAGTCAACTATTTTCAACCATAAATACTTCCAACCAGTAGACCTGGCAATCAGGTCGGGTTGGGTAATTTCGGGTTGGGAATCTCGGGTTACGAGTCTTCACGGGTCGGGTCATGATGGGTTTGCTGATTTCGGGTCAAATATTGACCCAAACCATCGGATTTTGGGTCTGGTTTCGGGTCATTTCGGGACATGAGCGTTCTCAGAAACAATATCAAACATGCTTCATAAATTTTTAAAGAACACAAATTTTTATGTATGTGTGACAATAGTTTACCTAGCACATGTCAATTAACAAATGCTCAACTCCTTCCATGCTAATGAAAAGAAATACAGATTGCAAAAATTGTCAAAAAACAATGACAAAAGTAATACTACTACAATAAACAAATGATGTTTGATTATCTTAACACTCCAAACTTATCTTAACACTCCAAACTTGTCTTTCAAATCCTAATAATTTTTTTAAACATCTCACCAAAGTATGAGTGATTTTATCATTTTGAGAGTGACACATGCAACGAAACGGGTCTACCAGGTCGACCCACAAACCAACCCAACCAGATCCAAAAACTACGGGTTAATCGGGTTCGGGTCATGGGTTATAAACACCTCAACCCATTCTCTATTTTTTGGGCGGGTTCGGGTCAGGTCAACGGGTCGGGTCCTCATTTGCCAGGTCTACCAACCAGGCTGCAACTCAACCCAAAAGCCTAGGAGCTTCCTCCCAAATGAACAAAGAAGGGGACATAGTGTGAGCCCGGTTGTCCAGAAAAAGAAAAGGGAAGCTGATTTGGCACAAATGATGGAGGATACAGGTGCGACAGGGGAAAACAGGGGATGATAGCTTCTGGAACTGGAAATGAGGAAACAAGGGAGACAATGTTTGAGGAAGACCCATAAATCCACCCTGTTTTGAGCCGAAGAATGTTGTGGTTATGGTGGCCGATTCAAGCCACCCAGGGCGCCATGAATGGATTGGTTTGGAACTGTCTCCAATAGTTCGACAACTAAGGAAACTGGTCAGGAAGCACAAGTTTGCCTTCGTCTTTCTATCAAAGACGAAAAAGAAGAAATCGTGTATGGACACCAAGATGGGGAGTTTGAAGTTTTCCAAGAAGTTCTATGTTTTTCCGTCGAGAGGACGGGGGATTAGCTCTCTGGTGGTTAGATGATTTTCATATTCGTATCCTAGATAGTTGAAACGCTACGACACAACACCAAACTGCGACCAAGTGTAATCGCAGTCCGGAAATGCAGAATAGTGGCAAGTTGTAATTATCAACCCGGGGTCTAGATCTACTTCCTACTCCGTGATTATCTATTATCTAGCCAACTAAGTCGATTGATTGTTGTTTTAACTAAAAGCAGAAAGAAAGAAGGAAATGATTCGGTTTTCTAAAGCAAAGGAAGAGTCACTCGGGAATGAGTCCCCCCTATCTCCTTAGTTAGGTCTCAGTTGTAATTAACCTGGGTTGATTTACTGTTGATTAAACTGCGGAGGATCCGACAGTAGCTTGGAATCTCTTAAGCTGACCAAGCCCTCTCAGTCTAACTACCCGGCAGACGACTAGTCTTCACCGGGATAGAAAGCTGAAGCAATAAGCACAAAACTCCACTACTGGAATTGGATTCCAGTACAAAGCAGTAGACTGACTAACTCTCGTATAGCCAATCTACTACTACCGAATGAAGAAGCTCTAACAACCTAATTAGATTCTATCTATCTCAGGTTGCAGCAGAAATCAAGAAAAGCTTATCAGACTTCAATCAATTCAATGAAACATGCATCATTCGATTAAAATCAACTCAAGAAAGAAGTGAAACATTAGATCCTAAAATACTATGTTGATGTACTAGGTCCTGAAGTACCATATGTTGATGCATTGGAGCACCAATGTACCTTGCTAGTCAAGCATCATGCACAATATCATTTTGGTGTTGATAATATTAGCAAGATACAACATTTCCCTCATTGGAACGTTGGAAAATATTGTGTTACCTTCGGGAACAATATATGCGATTGTTTTATTATGGTATTATCTTTTTTTATAATGGTGATGAAATTCATTGAAACGAAAAGTAAAAAAAGAAACAGAGTTCAACACGCACAGAAGAACGCGGTTCACAAGAGCTTAACCAGCCTTCAAGTGAAGAAACAAAATGCAGCTAGGTGGACCAGACCACCCGGCTACTAAAAAGAGATAGCAAAACAAAATAGAAAAGTCACCCGCCCCAACAAAATCAAGGCAGGGAAGAAAAATTACAACCAACATCACACTCCCACAGCAAAAGCCATGAGCAAGAAACACTCCTCACCACCTGAAAAACCTGCAGAAGCTAACCAAGATTCCTAGAATGATCCACTATGCAACACAAGCCGATGAGGCACACAGGGAATCAACGAACAAGAAACTGAACATAAGGCCTTAACACGGATAATCAACCACCATGTAACTAAACACAAGGAAGACTCAACAGCAAAAACGTGCGTCACACCACCGCCCAAGGAAGCGACCAACACGTTCATACCACGCCACAACACCAGTGAGCACAAAGAAAAACACACAGCCCAAGACGCAAACTTCAGGATGCAAAAAACTTCTCTCACGCCCAATGCAAGCTTTCCTCATAAGCAACATTCGATGAAGCACAACCAACCCCCCAGCAGCTCTAATTGCTAGCATCATCTCTCGGGAGACGCATCGCTTTGGAAATTATGAGCTAAAGCCACACCAGCAAAAGGCATGAATCAATCATGTCCGGAACCACCCTTTCCAACTATCATGCGTCTTGTTCTTCCACCCTCTAATGATAATGTCGATGACACCCAACACAGATTGAAAAGTCTTCCATATCATCTCGTTGTACCTAAATCTGCAGAAAAGATGATCGATCGTTTCTTCATCATTGTCACACATCACACATTTCCTTGCGAGATTCCAACTTCGTTTCTTTAGATTATCATGTGTAAGGATCTTCTTGTCATGACCATCCAGAGAAAAGCAGTTTATCTTCGAGGGAACCTGAGGAATCCAAATCATCTTGTACGAAAAGCCATTCTCGCCCGGAAGACGACTCAAGTTAAGACTGTTGTACATGGATTTGACCGTAAAGGATGCGTTCGACGAAGGCTGCCACACAATCTTCAAGGGACATGCAGAAATAAAGTCAAGAAAAGAAGAGGAAAGGAACTGTATAAGCCTCACTCACTCTCTCTCCCTCTCTCTCTCTCTCTCTCTCTCTCTCTCAGCCCCACCCCTCAAAGACCAATGTAAAGGCACATCCCAATTCACACCCTCAGAAGAGAAAGAAACAAACTCAGATACACGGTCATCCGGAGAAGACTAGGCAGCAACGACACTCAGTGGGAGACCCAAATAAATAGTTGGTAAATATCCCCAACTGCATCCAACCAGATCTGCAAAATGACTAGGTTTGTCAATATTGTCAATAAGAAACATCATGCACTTCTCCACATTGATTCTTAACCCCGTCATTGCTTGGAAGCATACCAAAGTGCCCATCAAATTCAAAACTTGGTCCTCGTTTGCATCACAAAAAACAATCGTATCATCTGCATACAGTAAATGTGTCACTTCTCCCCTTAAACCCGCTTCATCCATTCTAAATCCCGAGAGTCGGCCATCACTCCTCAAAGATTCGAACATGAACGATAATAAGTCCATGACGAGCATGAATAAGAAAGGAGATATGGGGTCACCTTGCCTTAGACCCTTCTCAATTCTTAAAAATCCGGCATACTCTCCATTCATAAGGACAGAAAGCAATCGGGAAGAAACCATCTCTCTAATCCAGTTCAACATCTTCGTTGGGAAGCCCCAACACCTCAGTGTGTGCTCCAAACACCTCCAATTGACATTGTCATAAGCCTTCTCTATATCAAGTTTGAATATGAGCCCTGGTTTACCGCTTTTTCTTCTGTTATCTATGCTAGCTCATTGGCGATTAAAATTGCTTCGTGAATTTGTCTGCCTTTAACCCCAGCAAACTGATTCCCGGAAATAATAGATGGCATGAAGGACCTAATTCTCTCTATAATCACCTTAGAAATCAGCTTGTTGACACTTCCCAATAGACTGATCGGTCTCAAATCTTTTATATCAACAACCTCTTTTTTCGGGATCAGGCACACGAAAGAGTGAGAAATGCACTTTGGTAATCTGCCATTGGCATGAAAGTCAACAAAAGCTTTTAACAAATCATTCTTCACGACATTCCAACATTTCTTATAAAAGGCAAGGGAGAAACCATCAGGTCCGGGGGATTCGTCTCCTTTACAACTCTTCCGAGCCCTCCAAATCTCATCCTCAGAGAAAGGTCTTTCCAACCACTTATGCTCCTCAACAGTGAAGACATGTTGCCCGTAGTTAGCAGGAAATGGCCGTTGTTGGAGACACACTTTGTAGACAGAAGTGAAATGATGGACTAAAGCCATTTTCAAATCTTCCTTCCCTTCAACGAACTCTCCATTAACTTTGATTTTAGTAACAAGCTACCTTCTTCTGTTCAAATTTGCTGTTGTATGGAAGAAAGCTGAATTTCCATCTCCGACTTTAAGCCAGGTTTCCCTGGATTTCTGCCTCCATGAAACTTCTTCTAACCACAATAAGATTTCAATTATGATTTCAATCTGTCCCTACTCTCCAAGTCTTCCTCCGGTAGTTCATTCTCTTCCTCCTTCCTGTCAATCTGCCCCAAGCAAACAAGAAGCTCCTCAATTTTTCGGTCAACCCATCTGATTTCCTCTTTATTCCAAATTTTGACGCGTTCTTTCACACTACCCATCTTCTTTCCAAACAGAAACAAATCTCCCACACCTCTCTGATGTTCATTCCACCAACCTTCTAAACTTCCCATGAAAGACTCAGCCTCTAACCACATGTTTTCGAATTTCCACGACCGATGAATCCTCTCACCATTACCCCAAATAAGCTGAATTGGGTTGTGATCTGATTCAAATCTTTCAAGAGCTTTAAGTCTGCAGTTTTCAAAACAAACATCGAATGCTGTGGAGATCAAGCACCTGTCAATTCTAGACAAGGAGGGAGAGACTCTTTGGCTGCTCCACGTGAATTGAGCCCCAGAGAAAGGTAGATCAATAAGCGTCACATCCGTAATAAAATCATTGAACTCGATCATCAACCCAACACTTCTCTGTGCTCCTTTATAATCTTCATGGGATCTCATAAGATTAAAATCTCCTGCATTACACAGCGGGTTAGTCATTCGATGACATACTTCAGATAATTCCAACAGGAAGAGCTCATTTTCCCTTCTTCTTTGCGGCCCGTAGACAACCACAAGAGTGAAAACATTCTTTGACTCAAATTCTTTCAGTTGGACCAACAAGCAGAAGTCACCAATCCATTTAGTCAACATACCGAAAAAGCTCTATCACAGAAAATGACAATGCATCCCCTGCTGTGATCAGCATTTTTGGCAGCCCAACTTCAATCTCTCTGTCCGCTAACTTCCGAAACGAGCTCTTGACAACAGTCGTTTCACTTTGTTTCAGTCAACCCGACAATCGCAGGCCTGTGTCTTCTAAAAAACCTCTTTACACACGCCCTCTTCTCGTCGTTTCCCAATCCATGCACATTCCACGCAATGAGCGACTTCATCATTGATCACGGGAATTTGATGACAAAATTTGTTTCTTCGCGATCGACTCTATTTTTGCTTTGGTTCATGTTGTGTGTTTCCGAGATTTGAAAGTCGAAATAGCAATCTCCTTAACATCATCCTCCTCCACACAATCAGAGGACTACTCATTCCTATTCTGCAGCTCTAGGAAATTACTGATTTAGTGACTTTTGGAGATCAATATTTCAACATCGAGTGATGGCAGGCTAGGTCGATCCTCCACAATTGGGGTCTCCGATGGTGATAAAGATATGCTCTCAGAAGGATCAAAGTAATAGGGGAAATCAGGTGGAAATGGAGAGGCAAGTGAGGGTGGGTCCTGGGAATTTGGGGACTCTTGTTTCAAGCCTCACCCCGACCTCTCCTTATTATGATATTATCAAAGATAGTTTTGGTGGACTTTATATCCAAATCATATATATCATTTGATCCTCATATTGGTCGAGTGGAGACGAGCTATATCTTACATATGGTTATATGATTGTTTCATAGAGATCCAAAACAAACTATAGTAGGCAAGTCCTGAATGTATTTCGTCACACTTTGTGATTCAACATATATAAAGGACTTATGGTTGTGAACTATTTTCAAAGGAATGATCCTGACGATCATGTATGAAAAAAATCTAAAGATCATACATCAAATTGACAATGCAGAAGATTGTTCACTAACTGATGCGCCAAAACACAACACCTAACAATGGCCAAGTGTAACCAATGAAAGGGACTGCAGTATAGTGGCACAAGTAATAAATATCGAATCCACGGGTCTCTAGAGTTACTATTACTCAGCTTCAGTTCATTATCTAGCAAACTAGATCAAGGATTGATTAACTAAACTACTCTACTAACTAAACTAAGTAAAACTACTAATTACAGTTTGGGAACTCACTTGGGTATGATTCCCCCTAGCTCCTCAATTAGGTCCAAGTTGTAATTCCTTTTGGTTGTTTTACTGTTGATTAAACTGCGGAAGATCCGACAGTAGCTTGGAATCTCTTAAGCTGACCAAGCCCTCTCAGTCTAACTATCCGGCAGACGACTAGTCTTCACCGGGATAGAAAGCTGAAGCAATAAGCACAGAACTCCACTACTGGAATTGGATTCCAGTACAAAGCAGTAAACTGACTAACTCTCGTATAGCCAATCTCCTACTACCGAATGATGAGACTCTAGCAACCTAATCAGATTCAATCTATCTCAGATTGCAGCAGGAATCAGGAAAAGTTGATCAGACTTCAATTGACTCAATAAACATGCATCATTCGATTATAATCAAACAATATAGCATCCAAAACTTCATACAAGAAAGATCCTAACTCATGGAAATAGGGTTCCTCAAAACCTAAGTGAAGGGAAGTTACTCCATAGAGAAGAGAGAGACTGCAGAAATCTGATCTAGATCTTCAATCTCCATCTCCAAGCTTGATTCCCGAGCTCCAATGGCGAAGAAATCCTCCAAAATAGCTCCAAGAATGTTCCCAAGTCGCTCTCTCTCTCTCTAGGGTTCGTCCCTTGGGTGTTTGGGATCCAAAACCCAGCTCTCTCTTTCCTTTGGCTCTAATCTGCCTCAAAAACCCGATTCTGGGCGAATTACGGGCTGAATTACGGTCGTAATTCTTCCATGCCCGTATTTTGCCCAAAACACGCGTTTGGTTAAGTTTCAGCGCACCCAAAGCTCCTCTCGGCAGTGAAATTACGGGCATGGGAGGGTAAATTACGGTCGTAATTCTCCTGCCCGTAATTCTTCCTCCACCCCTGTTCAAAGCTTCGTTTCTCCCTCGTCCGGACTCCGAATCAGTCGCCGTTTGAACCCAGACGCTCGTAGTCTCGTCCTCTTTCTTTTCATAAAAAACTTCCATGATTATTTGTCCATAAAGTGAGGTAGAAATCCATTCTTCTTCAGGTCATGCTCGTGTTTCTTCTCCCGAATTTCCAAATGATCTCCGATTGACTTGAAACTTGCGACTACGCTTCACTTTATGTGCTAGGGGCTGAAATGTGACAAAGGAACACAACCTAGCATAAAATAGGCCAAAGACACGATAATTGAAGCTCAAACAATCAAGAAACAAAGGGGAAAACATGTGCAAATACCGAGTCATCATTAACTCACTCCCATCAACAATCTTTCTTAAAGTTGTTCGTGAAATTTGAGTTCAACGACTCAAAGATCTGAAGTGATGTGGTTATGAGGGGGAGCATACACGCACTGCACTCTTTCCCTTAACCATGATTTTTCTCACTGGGTATTCCTGTTAAGGTTTTTAACGTGGCAGTATGAGACAACGTAATGCAATCTAGTGGTTATACAAGGGGGAGTATTATGTAAATATTTATATATGGATGATCAATGACCTATCACATTAGATGCTCACTTGGGAGTTACATGTAACCCCTATTCCTACAATTGAAATCTCCTAGCTTTATGTTTCATTATCTCTCATTCATATGCATTGATATAAGGATGTAACAGTTATCAAAGTGTGCCTATAAATAGAGCACACCATTTGTATCAAAAGTGAAGAATGAATAAGAAGAACTTTTTTTCTCTATTTTTGTATGTCTTTCTCTTTCTAATATTCTCTTGTAGCTGTTTATTTATATATATACCAATCAAAATTTGGTGAACTCGATCGTGATCTTCCATATAAACTTTGTGCTCTAGAAGGTATAAATAATTAAGCAGTCAAATTATAACTGCACTTACTAGGTCACATTTGTTGGCATCGATCTTGCCCTCTGGTACGCAGTGGATGCTTGACAGATGTGTTACTTGCAGTAAGTAAGCATTATCATCCTTTCAGCTTCTCGAATCTCAATTGCCTGCATGCATGCACGTTATTAATGAACATGAACCAATCCAAGCGATGGATATGATAGGTGTCAAGAACCGGCTGATTCTAATGACTTGAGTTGTTGGAAAATGTTCAATTATGGATCATATGTCACTAATACACTCTTCAATTAAAAGCAGGCCACCATGTATGGGCTTCAAATTTTGCACGGTTTCAAATACAATGTGTTTAACAAATTCGGACTTAAAATCTTTAGATCACATTAGGCTTTAATACCATGTGATCAAGAACCCGCCGATCTCTCAATAACTCGAATTAATAAAGTTAACGGCAAACGTGGTAGAAACACACCGGATTGGATCAACACACAGGATATCATAGAATTCTCCATGAGTCACCAGAACCCTTTGGAACTTTGCCAGAAACAAATAACAATTGATGAAACGATAGTAGTTTTAATAAATTTCAGTTACAATCAACTTATTCAAAGTGAACCAAACAACGAATTAATTCGTCAGCTTCATATTGAGAAACCTCCCGATTATGATGATATCACGACTTCTCTTCATTAACCTCCCGAGTAGCACCACCCGAGGAAGCCGCCGCCGCCGCCGCCATCTCCGAACTAGCACCGCCGCCACCAACCTCCTCCGCCGCCGACTTGCCATGCAAACCATGAAGATGATGATGCCCGCCGCCGCCGTGGACATTCTCAACAACCTCGTCCTTCCTGACAACCTCGTCGATATGCAAGTCCTCCTCGATCTCCACCACCACCACACGTGGGCCGTGAGGCCCGGGGACGATGGCCTCCTTCACCCTCACGTGCTCGTCCATGTGGATCACATCCACCTCGTGCGTCTTCTTCTTCTTCTTCAGCTTCCTCAGGCAGCAGAACACCACGGCGGCGAGCCCCGCCAGAAAGAGGAGGCCACCGAACGAGGCGAAAACAACGATGATGATCACGGTGGAATGGTTGTCGGGGGACGGCGGAGGAGGAGGGAGAACGTGTGGTGGTGGCGGCGGGTGCACGTGTGGTGGCGGTGGAGGGAGCATGTGTGGAGGTGGTGGTGGACGCACGTGCGGTGGAGGAGGGGGAGGTGATGGGAACACGTGCGGCGGCGGAGGTGGAGGAGTGATGACGTGGGGAGGTGGCGGCGGTGGGTGGATGGGGTGGAATGGCGGCGGTGGAGAGAAGTAAGGGAAAGCAAAGCTGGTTGGAGAGGCCATATTTGTGACGATGATTTTACAATTAGTATTATTGTATTTAATTTTGTCTTCGTGTAGTTTGGTGATGAAAATGGTGGGAGAATGGCCATGGCTATTTGTAGTGTTGAGATATAGTGTTATTTATTTATTTATTTATTGCTAAGAGTACAAGTTTGTTTTTATTTTTAATATAATTTATGAGTGACTTAATCCTCATTCTAAGATTTGTGGGGAGGAAAAGGAGGATATATGTCAATATTGTTTGCATTCCAAAACACTTCACGGTTTCCCTGCACTACTTCCCAATCTTCTTCTCTTCTGAGTTCTGACCCCCTGTTTTTCTTGCCAATTTTCTCCTCGAGGGTCTTGAGCGAGTGTGGTAATAGATTACATATCCATTGAGACAAATCAAAACGTCTTGCAAGACGAACATATAATTATAAACATGTGAAATCCACAGCGACTAAGGAATGAATTGGATCGTATGCATTATTAGAGCTAATTGATTTTTGTATTTATCATTATTCTTTTATTATTTTTCCCACTACCATTTACGGTTGTTACATTTGTGGGAAGTGCCCGCGTGCACCTATTTCCTCTCCCAAAAACTTGTATATTAGTGAACAGAATCGTCAATGAGAAACAACTCAATCTTTCCCACAATATCAAATCCTTCAATCTCTTTCATGATATCAGAGCAAGTGACGTTCAACTTGTTGATCCAGATCTGATCCCCTTTCCTTCTTTCTTTTTTCTCACGATCTCTGTAGCAACCGATCCCCTGTTTTCCTCTGTTTTCTGCTCGGCATCATGTCAGTGTCGACAATCTCATATAGCTCCTCCCCAGCCGAAGAACCTATCATAACTTTCAATCCGGCTGCTCAATTACCTCTCAAGCTGACCTCTACCAATTTCAATTCTTGGCGGTCACAACTGGAGACGCTACTCATGGGACTCGACCTGATCAGCTTCATCGACGAAATTGGCGTTTCCCCTGCTTCCACTGTCACCGTCGACGCAATCACCAGTCCCAATCCTTTGTATCGACGTTGGTTTCGTCAATATAAGCTCATCTTACACACCCTACGTTGCTAAATCTCTGAATCTCTTTATTCGTTTGTCTTGAATGTTGCTACCTCTCGGGAGGCTTGGTTAATCCTCGAAAAATTGTATGCTGGGCGCTTTGGTTCGCGCATTATTAATCTCAAAGGAAAATTGACTCGCACAGTTAAGGGAACCAATGATGTTCTGACCTTTGTGAATGAGTTAAAGCAGACAGCTGGCCAGCTTGCACTTGTCGGCGCACCGGTCTCTGATCTCGGCCTGGTGGTGCTTTGTCTTCGTGGGCTGGGCAACGAGTATAACCACTTCTCTGCGGCTGAGCGTGCTCGTGGTACCACAATCTCAATTGAGGATTTGCTTGATTCCCTCATTGGGTATGAGGCAGATTTGAAGGAACAGGCTCGCACAACTATTGCACCCACTACGTTCTATACACAGGGGTCTTCTCGACAGTCTTCCAACAGTGGCGGTGGCTCTTTTCATGGCGACAGTGTCGGCTCTCATTCACTCTGATCTTCTCCCCGCCCACAGCAGGGTTATTTGCTTGAGACAGGGCCTGCTCACCCCCTGGGCTGCCTGTCTTCTTTGGGGCCGCCTTCATCTAATGAGCCCAACAGTCACCGCAATCCCACTGTCATCTGCCAGTTATGTGAGCGGCCCGGGCACTCGGTACGCCAGTGGTTCATGCTTTTTCCCCAAGCCCGTCAGGCCTTTCACCAGGCCCATCAAGGGCAGGCACATGCTACTCATATGGGCCCTTCTCAAATGGGCCCTTCTTCCTCTGTTGGGCCTTGGTTAATGGACACTGCATCTTCTAATCATGTCACTCCAGACTTGGGTCAATTTTCCCTCTACTCCGATTATACTGGACCAGATGAAATCATGGTTGAGGATGGTTCAGGTTTGGCTATTACCCACATTGGCTCTTCCACTATCTCTGTTGGACCCACTCCATTATATTTGAATGATATTTTGTGTGTACCGAGCATCAAAAAGCATCTTGTATCGGTCGCCAAGCTGTGTCAAACTAATCCTGTCTCTGTGGAATTTTTTGCCACTAATTTTCTTGTGAAGGATCTTCGCACGGGCGCGCATCTGCTGAGGTGCGAAAGTAACGGTGATGTCTACAAATTGCCTCGGGAGATGGAAATAGTTTGCATGGCCTTGGTCACTACTCGCACCTCCGCCGCTTCGTGGCATGCTCGTCTTTGTCATCCCGCACAGTCTTCACTCACGAGTCTTCTTCGGTCGTATTCTCTTCCTGTTTCGTCATCACTATCTTGTCCTCCATGTGATGCATGTCTTTCCAATAAAAGCCACAAACTGCCCTTTTCTACTTCTTCTTTGACTAGTACTCGGCTTTTTGATCTATTGTATACGGATGTATGGGGTCTGTTCCAGTTTCTTCCATTGATGGTTTTCATTACTACTTGATTATTGTTGATCATTTCACTCGCTATACTTGGTACTATCCTTTGCGCAAAAAATCTGATGTTCTTCAAGTCTTTCTTGATTTTAGGAAGATGGTTGAAAACTATTTCTCCACTACCATCCGTCGTCTTTTTACGGATGGGGGTGGTGAATTCATTAAAGTACGTTCTGATCTTTTTAATCATGGGATTAGTCACCTTCTCACTCCACCTCATACTCTGGAACATAATGGCCTTGCTGAACGGAAACATCGGCATTTGGTTGAAACTGGTATCACTCTCCTTCATCGTGCTAAACTTCCAACCTCCTTTTGGTCGTTTGCTTTCTCCACTGCCGTCTACCTTATAAATCGTCTCCCTCTTCTGCTCTTCGTGGTAAAATTCCTTACACCCTTCTTTTTAATCTTTCTCCTAATTATCATAAACTTCGTGTTTTTGGGTGTTTATGCAACCCCTGGTTGTACCCATACTCCTCTCACAAACTTGACCCTCGATCTAGGACGTGTCTTTTTCTTGGCTATTGTCCTCAATGGAGTGCTTACTTGGGTTTTGATCTTCATACCCATCGTCTATTTTTTTCCCGTCATATTGTCTTCGTTGAGTCTGACTTTCCAGGTTTTCCCGCCACCCCTGCTGACGCTCCATCTGCTGATACTTGGCTACTGGATACAACCCCTACCATCACTACCATTCCTCTCAGCCTACTGCTTTGTTGCCCACGCCGCCTCCAGGCCCACTTCAGCCTTGCCCATCTCCAGCTCCCTCCTCGGCCTCGCCTCCGGCGCGTGGATCCTCCTCCCCTAGGCCCCTGCCCCCTACAGCCCTGCCTGGGCCCGTCCAGTCTCTCGTGGCCCCAGCCACGCCTCCATCTGGGCCGCCCGTTCCCAGTGGGCCTCCTCCACCTCCTGTCCGCTCCCATCCTATGCGAACCCGGGCTCATCTTGGGATCTTCAAGCACAAGAAATGTTTGTTTCTTTCCCAGCTCACTACTGGGCCTCCCCCACTTGAGCCCATGTCCATTCAAGAGGCCCTAAGCTATCCAGAGTGGAATGCAGCCCTGCAAACAAAACATGCGGCTCTCCTCGCCAATTCTACTTGGGACTTGGTTCCCCGCCTCTCGCATTATCATGTCCTTGGCGACCGGCGAGTTTATCGTGTCAAGAATCATCCCGATGACTCCATTTCTTGGTTTAAGACACGATTGGTGGCCAAGGGATATCATCAACGCCCTGGTCTTGACTTCACCGACACATTCAACCCCGTCGTCAAACCTGTTACTGTCCGCACAATTTTCACCTTGGCTCGCTCTCAGTCATGGCCTATTGCTCAATTTGATGTTAGCAATGCCTTTCTTCAAGGCCCTTTGCAGGAAGAGGTATACATGGTCCAACCGCCTCGCTTCGTTGACTCCTCTCGACCTCATCACATTTGTCGTCTCCGTCAGGCGATCTATGGTCTCCATCAAGCTCCCCGTGCCTAGTGTACTGCCTTGACCATCTTCCTCCTCGAGTTAGGCTTCACGAGGACTCACTCCGAGGCTTCTTTGTTTGTCTTCTCTCGTGGGAAGGTCCTTCTCTATTTTCTGGTCTATGTCGATGACTTACTGCTCACCAGCAACGACCGGCCACTCTTGCCTCTTTTCAGCAAGCTCTCTCGGCTCGATTCTCTCTTAAGGCACTCGGGGACGTCAATTATTTTTTTGGTATAGAGGTGATTCCAACCTCGAAGGGCTATATTCTTTCTCAAAATAATTACATGGTTGATATTCTCCATCATTTTCTTATGACTGATGCCAAGCCCGCAGAGACGCCGCATGCTGCCTCTACTTCCCTTACACTAGCTGACAGTAGTCCTCCCACCGATGCCACCCGCTTTCGTCAGGTCCTTGGTGCCTTTCAGTACTTTGTATATACACGACCTGAAATTGCTTACTCTGTCAATAAGCTTTCTTAGTACATGCATGCTCCGACAACCCATCATTGGCAGTGTGTTCTTAGCCTCCTGCATTATATCCCTGGCCCTCTTACCTATGGTCTCTCCATCTCTCACTCTCTGGGTGCTTTGACTATCTCAGGTTTTGCGGATGCTCATTGGGAAGGAAATCTTGATGACCGATCCTCTACTTCCGGCTATCTCATCTACCTCGGCTCTACTCTTATTTCCTGGCGCTCTCAGAAACAGCGTACAGTTGCTCGATCTAGCACCGAGGCCGAATATTGGGCCCTTGACAATGCTGCCGCCGAAGTTGAATGGATGCAGAACCTCCTTTCTGAGCTTCATCAACCTCTCACCACCGCCCCTACTCTATACTCAGACAACTTTGGTGCGAATTATTTCAGCTCCAACCTGGTTTTTCATTCTCGCATGAAGCATCTTGTTCTTGACTACCACTTCGTTCGTCAACTTATTCAGGCAGACCGTCTTCATGTCTCTTACATTCCGAATACTCATCAGCTAGCGGATGCCCTCACTAAGCCATTGCCCTCGACACGATTTCTTCTACTCAGATCCAAGATTGGCGTCGTTGATACCTTGATGACTCGGTATTTGCACATATTTTCCCCTTTGTTTCTTGATTGTTTGAGCTTGAATTATCGTGTCTTTGGCCTATTTTATGCTAGTTT